TGATGATAATAGGCGAGAGGGTAGCACCTATTGAATATATATACATATATATATATATATATATATATATATATATATAGACTACAAAAACACACACAAAGCACAAGGGTCCCATGCTAGTTCTTGAACAATAAATAGGTACATGGTTTTAAATGTTCATTGACTTGTATAATTTATTTATTTTCAATTTTTCGATTTTTTTTTGATTAATTGTTGAGAAGGTTTTGATTTTGATGAATTTATATTAATTAATTAATGGGGTTTTGAAGACATAAATTATTGTTGTGTAAAGGGAACAAAACATAGGTTTCAATATGAAGGCTCCATTTTCTTGAAAATGGAGAAAAATCCAAATCTCCAACAAGACTACTCTCTTTCTCAAAACAAGATAGAGCAATCACTTAGTGCCCCCACATGAACCAAGAAAAAGTTGAATTATAAATTGTTTCATATAATTAAAGCTAAAAGAAAATTTGCTGATAAGTTTTTCCGTCTCTAAGTTGTATTAAGAGTTGATAAACTGTTACGTCTTATTTTTAGAAATTAAATTTTAAAGTGTTTGGATAATGATGTTATAAGCTATTTTTACTTATTATAAAATCTTAAAAAAAAAATGGGATTATGTATGTGGTGGCGAGTGGTGCGAATCCGAGGTCGAGTTTCTCCTACGGAAGGGGAGGCCCAAGCAGTTCGACAAGCGATTATCACGGCACACCGTTTTCATTGGAACTCTATTATATTGAGGGAGATTGTCTACAGGTTATGGACGCTCTTCGTCACGGAAATCATTCTCTCACACCGTTTGGTGCAATTGTTGATGAATGCATGTTTCTTGCTAGGTCATTTATTTCTTGTTCTTTTAGTTTTATTAAGAGACAAGGGAACCAACTTGTTCATGTTCTTGCTGCTATTATTGTTTCAAATATTCTAGAAGGGGATTCTCTCCCTTCGTTTTGCTCTTTAGCCTCAGGTACCTAATAAAATAAACTCTTTCCTAAAAAAAAAATATTTTTGACAGCTTATAAGCTTAGCTAAATACTATCAAGTTTTGGCACCTAATTTTATGGAATTTTACTTATGGATGTGTGACAAAATTAATATATGGTACACAACTCATTTTCAACTTGATTAGAATGATCGAAGATCAATTGACTCAGATGCGCAATCACATGGGTAACTCAAAAGATTTTGAAATTGGGAGTTGGATTGCAAATGCTAATGATGTTAATTTGAGAACTAGTGTTAAGTTATGTCACAAAATCACATTAGATAAGTGTCAAGTCACGTCAAATCGCAACTAGAGTACAATTAAATTTGTGGGCTATATCTCATGAAAAATAAATAATTTATAATTTCTTGTTTCAAATTTCGATATAGTAGAAATTTTCGTAAAACAAATTAACAATCGAAATATTCGGATCAAAAATCAGAATTTTCGATCATTTTATACACAATTCCAATTACGTTCTAAAAATAAAAAATCAGGAAATCAGAAGTCGAATTTCGGAAACTAGAATGAAAAAAAGGGTTCCGAATTCGATTTTTTCTAATCGGAATCGACGGAATTCGAAAATTCCGTTGAATTTCCACCCCTAACTAGACCATATGAGCCTTAGTTAAATAATTAGCAACCAATACTAACACCATTATGAATTCAAGAAAATATTCCAAATGAAAATTTCAGAATTATATAAATTGAGGGGCACCTATTTTTTAAAATGCAACTTTAGCCAAGCATATTAAAAAAAAAAAAACAATTTAGAAAGAAAAAAAATATCGACAATTTAAATATTAAAAAAAATATCAACAATTTAAATATTTAAATATTAAAAAAATAAAAATAAATAAAAAAATAAAAAGAAGAAGAGGTTGAGAGACAGGTGTGAGAGAGTAAATGAGGAAGAGAGGATGAACAAAGACAATGGAAGGAGGTCCGACAGAGGTGTAAATGCAACGGCGACAAGCGAGGTGACGTGTCGGGTGCTTCTTCGCATATTCCACGTGGACGTCCAAATCTTGGGCCCCACCACTGCCGACGTAGCAACCCGCCACGTGGATGCTGACTTAATTCTACGGGGGAACAGAAAAACATCCAATAGTTGACATTGTCTACTCGCCACCGGCAACCCCGCTACTCTAGATCTCCCTCACATTTTTCTTCAATTCAGGTCAAATTAATAATAATATTAATTTCAATAAATAAATAAATTTATTTTGTTCGGACTAAACATTTTTCATCTAAAATTAATTTTATTTAATTAATGACTTTCTGCATTACATATCTAAATTAAGTGCATGTTTTTGTTGTTTACAATTTTACATGTCTTGGTTAAGACCAAACAATGAATTTGTGGTCTCAAGTTGTTCTTGTCCATAAATGAAACTCAATCATGTAATAATTGCAATAATTGTGGGCTCTTCAAAATGGCCAATCTTTTAAATACAACAAATATCGTGTGTCTGCAATGAAATCTCTGACTTCTTTATATCTTTCGTAACAAATCGTACATCATATGCATGGTTAAAATAACTCTTTCTTTTTTCAATTATAAAACGCAATCTCGTGCATCGAGAATTAATCTCACGGCTCGTACTAATTTGTTGATTGTAATTTGCGACGATCAACATTGGACGGTGATCACTCGCGATTGGTAATAATAAGACGTCGGCCGATTTTAGGGTTTGTTCGAGTTCTTGCCACACTTGTGTCATTGTAGGCCTTTCTTTGGGCTCAATCACCACACATTTAAGAGCAAGTTGTCCCATTTTTAGCATTATTTCCACGTTGCAGAAGATTTGCATCAATTATGATCTAACGAGCAAAATCCATCTCCGATTTTTTATTTTTTATTTTTATTTATTTTTTATTGGTTTTTCGTTGGAAATGTTTTAATAAAAGTCGATCGACTTACCGATAATGTAGTCTAGTAGTGATCCATTAGTCACATACTCATAGACCATTATTTTTGCTGCATTTGGCCCTGCAGAAAGCATTCAAGACATAATTTTTTAAGCAAATAAATTAAAGAAAATTTATTCAATTAATAAGTTGATGATCTAATTAATCTTTAATATATTCCTAATTTTTACGATTTCCTTCGCAGAACCCAACGAGTCCCAGAAGATTTCCATGCTTCACTTTCGATAGCAACTTCCCCTCTGTAATTTCAAGGATATTGGTTTTGAACATACTAAACGAATAGTCGGAACACGGTAAATTTACTCTTTTGCCCTTCTTACAAACGTACCTCGACAAACGTTGCCAAACGCACCTTTACCAACCATGCAAGCTTGGCTGAAATTGTCCATGGCCTTGTGCAGTTCTTCCATACGAAAACGCCTTAAAGTTCATCTTCTCTCTGCCTCTAGCTTTCCCATAATTATACTCAAGAAAAATAAATTAAATTTAGGATTTAAATTCGAACCAAGATAAATGTTTTAAATGATATTGATAATGACCAACCTTTTTGCTTCCGAATTAACCTGCAGAATTCGGCACGAATTTCTCAACGAAGAATATTACAGTGACAACGACAAGAACACCTAGTACAGCTGTTTTGCTCGAAGCGGATTTACGATGTCCTAATTGTGTTGGAGGTGAAGCTGGTGAAAATGCTCGTCTATTCGCCATACTTTTTTTTCTCGATTATTTACGAGATTTTAACATTATTTTTTTTATATATAACTATGTCGGCTCATATGAACATATTTTGTTTCTGATTCTGCATGAAACTGCAGTTATTACTCCAAAGAAAGAAGCAGCTGGTCAGGATTAAAATTGTATTAATTCAGACAAAAAATGAAGTTCAATTGCATATTATTATTCATGCTGACTCATAAATCAATTCTCCTTTGAATTGGTCAATTGTTTATTTTATTTTTATTTAGGGCAAATTACACCCACACCCCTGAGGTATGCTTAAATAACTTTAAGGTTCCTGTGGTATCGATAATTACACTCACCCCCTGAAACGTAGTTAGAAACTCTAACGGGATAATGCATTGGATACATTATTCCGATAGGGTTCTAATGGTCTATTACTTTTAGCTAGTGGTGGAGATAACATAGAGTTATGGGATAACATGGTTTCCCCAATATTTCTTAAATCACCCATAACTCTTTGTTGTTTCCACCACTTTCTGAAACCAATAGTTCGTTAAAAGTCTATCGTAATAAGGTATCCAATGCATTATCCCATTAGAATAGTCCGTTAGAACTCTATGTTATCTCCACCACTAGCTAAAAGTAATAGACCATTAGAATTCTATCGTAATAACGTATCCAATGCTTATAACTACGTTTCAAGGGGATGAGTGTAATTATCGATACCACATAGACCTTAAAGTTATTTAATCATACCTCAGGGGTGTGGGTGTAATTTACTCTTTTATTTATTCTCTAAGCAGCATTAAAGGCCAAGAAGACAATGTTAACATTTAGTATAGACTTAATTAATAGTATAGTTAATTTCTTTCTAAATCATTCAATTGTGCAAAAATTAAATAGCTAATTTTTTTGTGGGCTCGTGCATGCAACAATGACGATTCAACGTAAGCTCGACGAAGTTCGATACGATGTGGAAATCCATCTAAGAAACATAACATTACACAAAATAGTAGAAACCGAAAAAGAAAACGCGAATTTGGATCGAGTGCCAATGACAACTAGAGTGGGTTTGGAGTGTACTAGATTGGATACGGCGTACTTACTTTTATGCCCTTGACA